AAATAGAATGATAAAACACAAGTCCCGTAAATATGCGAAATGGTGGGAAAATCGTGTCCCATTAATTCTTCGATGAAAATAGATGAAAATTTAGATCTGCCATTTGGGGGAAGTTTTGGATTATTGGCTTCAAGAAAAAAAAACGCTTTAGATCTCAAGCACCAACGCACAGAGCAGGGGATTGATCGCTAGATTGCATGGATTTAACAAGTTTTAGATGTGCAAGTTCTAGTGAAAGTATATGAAATTTAAGCTGATTGAGCATGTATCGTCTGCTTTTCTGAAAGAAAACAAAGACTGTTTTTGGCTCTAGCTTAAACTATTGACTTTCAAAAAATATTTTTGCATCCTTCCGATTTGTGGAAAAAAAGCGGCGTGTGATTTGTTTCGGCACCAATCAAAGGGCTTCGCTCCGAGACACAATATGGAGCCGGTCTTGGTGTGTAAATGAAAAGAACTTAATTGAACCGAATAGAAAGGAGAACAGACGAACAGAACTTCTTGACCTCTCTGCCTCCGGGCAGAGAGGTCAACCCAGACGAGGCTATACCGAAGGGCAGAGTCTCGTCTGGAGAGGTAGACAGCCACCCGACACCGTGTGTGCGGGGGTCTACGAGGAATTTTTGCTCGGAATGCTCCACGTTAAAAACCTTGTGGGGAGGCTTCGGGTAAATACTGAATGAGAAGAGACGACATCATTCGCTGCAAGGAGAGGCCAGGTCATTCCGATTCAGGAGTTGACATAAGCTGCTGGGGAGTCGACATAAACTGCTTCAATCTGATTAAGAAGTAACGACAAAAGAAATTTGCCACCGCCAAGCAAGGATTAAAAAGAAAATCAAAAGGAAAATTCATCGACTGGTGCGAAATCTTCACTCTTGGCAGGAAGAGTCGTTACGGACATTGATTGGTTCCTCCAACTCCAGGCCATTTTCGCAGAAAAATAAAAATGATCGCAGAAAATAAAATTTGCCAAGCCTTGCCCCCTGACGTTGCCGACGAAGTTGCTGACCTATTGGAAGATGTTCCTGATACCGCCACTTACAACGTCCTTAAAGCAGCCATCATTAAAAGGACAGGGCAGTGAGACGAACAAATTTTGAGGGAACTATTTAACAACATAAGTATCGGTGATAGAACACCCTCACAACTCCTCAGGCACACGAAACGTCACCTCAGATAAAATGATATGTCGGAGTCCATCCTCCGTCGTCTATGGCTGGACAAATTGCTAACCACTATGATACAAATACTAACGCCTATGACAGATGATACAGCACTGGAAAAATTGGCAGATATTGCCGACCAAATTTTTGAATCGTTCGATCAGAGATTTAATGAAGAAGAAAACGACCGCAGTACTAAACACACGCATATCAACAAGGCACTCGCAGATTTGCAAAAGCAAATGCAACTGCTTCTAAACCAACAACGACGGAAGTACAGAAGTACTTCTCATGGACGTGATCCCACCGCACGCCGAAGAAACCTTAGTTGCGGGCGAACGAACACTCACCCCAGTAGAATTTGCTGGCGTCACCACACGTTTGGTAACGATGCAAGGAAATGAAGCAAACCTTGCCATCATAATACCAACAGACACCAACGAAACGAACAAATCGTCGAGTGAACGTGCCTACCCCGGCCGGTACGCACAAAGAAAGTCGCTTATTTTACATAGTTGACCAAAATAAAGGCTACAAATTCTTAGTGGTCAGTGTCATTCCACTAGCACCTGGATGCAAACCCAATCCTAGTCTCCTCAGACTACTAGCTGCAAATGTTACGCGCATCGATATCTAGGGCACCAAAGATCTAACGTTAAATATTGGAATGCGCCGAGATTTGACGTTGTCCTTTCTACAAGCAGATGTGCAAACACCCATTCTTGGGGCGGATTTTTGGTCCATTTTAATTTGTCGGTGAACAGGAGACACAGATTCATTTTGGACACCGAAACTAATATCCGTATTGCAGGAATCCGCACACAATACAATTCTACTGGCATCAGTGTAACATCTTTCCATGGTACAGAATACCTTGATATCTTGGACAATTTTAAGGAAATTACAACATTATTAAAAAATACAGATAACATCCAAAACACAGAATAAAGACTACTGGACAACCAGTATTTTCACGTCCACGATGGCTACATCCGCACAAATATCAATTCACTAAAAACGAATTTAACAAAATGCTACGGGAAGGGATAATTCGCCCATCTGAAAACCCTTATGCATCATCCCTACAACTCGTTCCAACAGCGGATAATAAAAGATTTCGACCTTGTGTGGACTTTCCTAAATTAAATGCATCTACGGTCCCTCATATACAGGATTTCGCACTCGGGTTACGCGGATCATGTATATTCTCCAAGATCGATCTCGCGAAATCTTATTTCCAGATCCCAGTAGCGGAAGAAGATATTCCCAAAACAGCGGTGACAAATCCGTTTGGGCTATACGAATTTGTCCGAATGCCATCAGGTCTCCGGAAAGCTGCTCAAACATTTCAAAGACTAATCGACCAAGTCCTGAGAGGTTTATCATTTGTATACGCTTACATTGATGATATCCTCATACTGACGAACACAAAGACCACTTACATCAAGTCTTTCAGAGACTATCCTAATTTGGCCTAAAATAAACTTAGATAAGTGTATTTTCGGTACCACTCAAGTTTCTTGGACACATGATAGACCAACATGGGATTACGCCCTTTCCAGTACTTCCATCCGACAGTTACGAAGATTCATCGGACTGATAAATTATTATCGCTGTTTTACCCTAATCTATCAACTATACTTCTGTCTTTGACTAATCTGTTAGAAAAACAAGAAACAAAAAAAAACAAAAAAAAAAAACAAGAACTCTACAACAGGATGCGCTTCATACGTTCAATACAGCCAAATCAGCACTTACAAACTTTACTAAACTCTCACATATCAGCAACAACGAAAATGCACTCATCTTTCTCACTACAGATGCATCCAACACGGCATAGAAGCTGTAATTGAACAGGAAATCGATTCAGTAAGAAAACCTTTCTTCCCAGCAAAATTAACGAAGACACAAACGAATTATAGAATCTTTTATAATGAATTGTTGGCTGTATATTCAGCAATTAAACAGTTTAGACACATACTCGAAGGAAGAAATCTTGCGATATACATAGATCAGAAGCCCCTCACTCATGCCATGTAGTGCAGGCAAATACACACCTAGAGAAATTAGATATTTAGATTTTATTTTTCAGTACATAACAGACATTCGTTATATTAAGGGACAACACAATATTGTGGCTGATGGACTGTCACGTACAGATATAACAGCGATACATGATTTAATTTCTACTCTAACAGAAGTATTATCGAATACCTCTTTAACATTGAAACAATTTCCAGTTCCTTTCGGTAATAAAACACTTGATTGTGATACTACATTAACCAACCCTAGACTGTACATCCCACCTACACTGAGGACACAAATATTTCAACACTTACACAATCTTTAACACCCTGTAAAAATTAAAAGTGAACGTTTTGTTTAGCCAAAAATGGCAGCAGAATTAGAAACTGGACATCAACATGTCTAAAATGTCAGAAGAACAAAATACAACGTCATACCAAAACACCAATAGGTACTTTCAGCAACCCTGATGCAAGGTTTAAACACATTGACTTAGACATTGTGGGTCCCCTATCGAGTTGTCAAGGTTATTCCTATATCGTAACTATTGTTGACAGATTTTCACGTTGGCCTACTGCGATTGCACTGAAAGACACAACAACTTCAAACCCAAACGCTGTTTTGAAAGATTGGGTTTCTATTTTCGGAGTACTCAATGTTATCACCACTGATCGTGGCACACAAATCCGATCATCACTTTTTCAGGAATTCAGCAACTTGGTGGGAGCAAACATACTACCCATGTGCTAATGGATTAATGGAAAGATTCGACAGGCAACTCAAGACATCGTTAGCCATGAAGGAAAACTCGATCAGTTGGATTTGATAATTTACCTCTTTATACTCTTTTCTATGAGAAACATTATTAAAGAAGACTTTGTCTGCACACCAGCTGAAAAAGTTTGGTTATTGTTCACATACAAGAAGCATTCAAACTTGTACAACAAGAATTATTTTTCTGTGTTGCTTATATATATATATATATATATATATATATATATATATGAATATGAAACTATTGTCTTTTCAAAATAGAATCGACTTGGTTATATTTATTTTACTGTTAACCTGATTCTCACCCGACAAACTCGCAGGTGTCCAACGGAGAACTTCCAGATTTCTGCGATCTGATGACCACTCTCCAGGATCAAAACAGTCACAACGTGGGTGGAGGGTGGATTCGAATTGACATTGGGAACTGAAGACCTGTAATACTGGACCATACCGGAACAACGGTCGATCTTGTGGAGTGTGTGGGTCCAGTGTGGTGAGGATACGGTGTTACAGTTGGTTACCCTGACCAGGATTCGACCCAAAATTACTCGGAGGAAAGGAAAGGTGTTGCAATTGGTTGCCGCGACCAGTATTCGACCCAAGAGATACCCCGGGGGGGTGACATTAAAGGAAAGGAAAAGGAGTTACAATAGACGCCGCGGCCAAAGATTATACCCAAGAATTAACTAGAAGACATTGGAATTGAAAGATTATATTGATCCGAAGAGCCGATAGTTACAGGAACAACAAAACAGCAGCAGAAACGCACTCCAGGTAGGTTACATTCTGGTTTCCCTCGATTATTGTTTTTTTTTCTTCGCTCAACTGTGGTACACGAAAACAGCCAGTAAGGATTTAGTGTCACCATCGTCTTTCAAATTTACCTATTAATTGAGGTACACCGCCAGAATAGATGAGTATCGCTGGGCCAGAGAGTACGGAGGGCGATGCTACGGTGCCCGAAATAACGGCGGCCTATAGGAGTCCGTTGGGTGGGATGAAGTTACCCTCCAACCGAAGCAACCCGCCTTAGTTTCATGATTGGTTGGTAGCTATACAAAAGAAACAGCTGGTATACGGGTTGGCAGGTCGGGAGATGGTGCTGTTGGCATATGAGGCAGCAGTGGGACCAATCTCAAAATTTATCGGGGGCTTATACAGGGAATAACATGAAACGAGCTGAATCAGACGATATGCTAGCGAGCGAACAACCATAGAGGCGGTTCGAAAATTGTTTAAGATTAAACAAGAAGTAGGGGAAACTCTAGAAGACTTTGGAGATAGGAATACGGGGTTTACGGGGTTAGCATTCCCGAATCCAGAAATAAGAGAAAATGGGGCAATTCAGGCGTTGTTAGCGAACACTTTCATGGACGCCATCCGTGATGATGACGTGAGAAGTGACGTCCTGAAGGGTGGGCCCTGTAGGCTGACGGTAGCTAAAAATAGCGAGAGGATAAGAAGTGGCGGAAACCAGGGAACTCAAAGACGCAGGGATTGGAAAAGTACAGAGAAGGTCTCCAGGAATGGGATAGGGAACATAAAACGCCGTAAGGACGCGAAAGAGGAGGAATGGGAGGCCGAGGCCGACCCCAACTGGAAGGAATGGGATATACGGTATGGATTTTATAAGTCCACTCCGGGCCGGTACAGGCTGGTATGCTGAACCTGCAATTACGGGGGACACAGTGCCAGAGACTGTCCCACCAATTGGGGAGGAGACCCCAGGTCTCTAGGTCCGAATTGCACTAAGTGCGGAAGTTTGGGCCACAAGGCAAAGTGGCGCACAGATGCAAGAGATAGGAGACTAGGGATTAAGAAAATAGACATCCTAGTACTCCCCGAGAAGAATAAGCGTTCGGAAAACGACAGTGGGACCCCCGTAGAGAAATGAGAGACAGGGTGGCTCCAATAAAAATAAGACCTCTGAAGTGTTTAACATGCGGTGTGGCTAGACATTTTTCAGCCAACTGTAAATGGCGAAGCTGTTGACAATGTAGAAAGCTTAGACACGTGATGAGAGTGGAAGGGGGGGGGCAAGGAGACCCCACTCCACCCAAGGAACCCCCCAAAAGAAGCTGACCTAGAGTAGCGAATGATGAGCCCCTATTGCCAGCACCCAGGTCGAGACTTGAGGGAGATAGGGATAGCCGATCGGAAATTAAAAATAAGGCGAGGTTGAGGAATAGGAACAGAGCCCAGATATTTCAGCTGTTTAAAAAGGGACCGGATTTCACATGTAATGTATTGGTGGAGCACAAGACGGTAAAAGCGTTAGTGGATACTGGAGCTTCGGTCTCCCTAATAAATTCCAAGATGTTTAGTAGCTGGGGTTACGTAGAAAACTCCAACCAGTGGATTTCTTAATTAGCCAGGCAGATAGTAGTCAGATGAGAATAGAGGGTATGACATGGATACCATTCAAATTGGCAAGGATCACAGGTGAACTTAAGGTGTATGTGACACCTGATTTGTGTGAGGAATTAATTTTGGGGAGTGACTGGCTTAGGCGGAACAAGGCCCAAATCCGCTTTGATCAGGCTACATTGATCTTAGAAGGGGTGGAAATCCTATTGGGAAATGAAATGGAAAGGAAATGCCCCGTAATGGCGCAGACCGATGTGGAACTTCCCCCTAGAAATGCTATTTCATGTGAAGGAAATGGATATTTTGGGGGCCCTATGGAGAAACTCCTCGTGGAAATGCGTATATAGTAAGTTTCGTGGACTGGCTGACGAATTGGCTAGAAGCTTTTTCGATTCCTGATAAGAAAGCACAAACAGTATCAAATATAATGCTTCAGGAGATATTTCCTTGATATTGAGCCCCTGAGCAATTGGTAACTGACAATGGACCAGAGAATGTAAATCAAATTATGGAAGAGACTCTGAGAGAATTAAGTACTGTACACATTACCACCTCCCCATCATTACTTGCCATCCCCAGAGCAATGCGAAAGTAGAAAGATTCCACCGGACCTTAGCCGATGTGCTAACGAAGTTGGCAGGTGATAAAGTATTGTAGTTTGTTTCCTAAAAACTGGAATCGATTAAACACACAACATATAACTCATTGATGTCTACTGTCCAATTTTTAGGAGATTCACCAAGTTTCAAAATGTAACGTAATACTTTGTCGAGAAGCAGCGACTTACAATTATATTTTTAAAAAATCTCCACTAGACTTGTAATGTCAAAAACAATCTGCAAAATAAATATTTTCGTTTTGTTAAATTCGACATTCATAAATTTGGATAAGAAATGTCTTGAATACAGAGTGTGGTATGTTATTGTTTAAATTGTGATCCTTCTTGATAACTCAATAAAATTCATGATGTTGGTGTCCAAGTGTTGTTGAAAATTACCTCGTAAGTTGTGAAACCCAAATATTATTAACCTGTACTTGATAAAATTAAGCTTAATTTCGTGAAATACATCTGTTTGATGCTGTGGCATACATCATCAGTGATGTTCATTAGGCGTTTCGGATCTTTCATCATCATTTCCCCTCTCTACGGTGACCCAGACAATACTGATTGGGTATCGACTTGTGCGCCATCCGTCAGCTACAACTTTCCTTATTTTTGATAACACACTGCGACTCATCTTGGCAATTTATAGTCCAATCAACAAAATAAAAAAAAATGTAAGAACCTCCCCATGTGTCCATTATATATATATATATATATATATATATATATATATATATATATATATATATAAAAATGTTCCCCCCATATGTCCATTGTGTATATATATATATATATATATATATATATATATATATATAAATCCGTACCCCTGGTAAAGGAGCAAGCTGGGTGCTAGATCTGAGCCACAGATCACTCTTAGGTTTTACAATGGAATAGGTAGGTAAACCTGTAAAACAAGACACTAAACATTTTTCAATGAAATGAACAGATCAGTATATGAGTTTTAACTTACACTGACTTTTGAAGTGAAAACAAAATCGAATTTAAAGATTCAAATAAGGATAAAGAAATAAATTGAGCATAGAGTGAAGGATTGATTTCACTTCTTTCTGTTGGTTGATATATTTTAAAATAGCTTTCTGTCATGCATGTCAATTACTGGGAAGTTTTTAAAATATTATTTATGAAAGTATTTTCTCTGCTTACCCATCTATATTTGCCTGTTTTCATACGGACATACGGATTGGGTTATACGTATTTAACAGAATGGGAAATAAATATAGAGACATTTGTATTTACAATCATATATGAGCTTATAAATATTTGCACACTTAGAAATGAATATATATGTGCACGCACACACACACACAAAATAAAAAATACCAAACAAACAGAAACGAAAATGATCTTCGTGCTTGCAGAGTTGGGTTGCATTTCTTCTGAACTCGTGGACTTTGCATTTTGACATTCAATCTAACAGGCTAATTGGGAGAAGTTGCAATATTTCTTTCGTTTGAAAAGCCTACATTGAAATCACAACAGCAGGAGAGAGAGAGAGAGAGAGAGAGAGAGAGAGAGAGAGAGATCAAATATGTTTCTCTTTGTGAATCCATGAAATTGTGTTTTTATGAGAGCCTTTCAGTTATACATTTGTGTGTGCCATATATAAACAAATGTTTGCTTTCCTTATCGGTATGTGTGAAATGCGTGTGCGTGTGTGTGTGTGTGTGTGAGACAGAGAGTGCGTATTTGTGTGTCTGTCTATGTGTCTGTATGTAATTATATTCGTGAGTTTATTTCAATACCTCAATGAGAATTTATACACGAAAGAACCTTTTTTTTTAATAATATCGCAGTCGTAATTTAGGGGAAATGTATTTTTAAATTTGTTTAAAATGTGCGTGGTGGACGATGCGCGCACGTGCGGCCATCTGTGTGTATGCATATGCGTGTATGGTAATATTACCTATTTTCTCATAAGATAACATTCAGTAGTCATTGACCGAGCAACTTTCGGTTGAAATTCATAAAATCTTTCTCTTAAAACAATTTTTCAAAAAAAAAATGTGTTTCTCGCTTCCACTAACTGGCTATTTCCAGTATTGATGGGACCTACTTTCAAAACATTTTGTTTTCGTTTCTGTAAGTGAAAGGGGGGAGAAAATCATCCAGTGTCATTTTGGGACATATATATATATATATATATATATATATATATATATATATATATATATATATATATATATATATATATATAAAGACAAAGGGAAAACTTGAGTCTTGTAACTAATTTGCCTGTCAAAACTGGGAGAACATGCAATTTTACAAACACTTTGCAAGAGAATCATGCCTTAGGACTAAATGATTGGCGTTGTGTTAATATACAACGTTTCACCATTCTTGGCATGTATTTTATTATCACCATGTGGGAGATTTTATAACACAAGTGATAGAAACCAAAATTAATCTGTAAAACATAATTTATATTTTTATATAATTTTTAAGTACTCAGTAATCTTAAAACGCTGATGTCGGATGAATCATCGCTAAAAAAAGTGATGTCGTATTTTAAAAGAAAGTCTTGATTGTTTTGGGGACACTGCTGACTAAAAAAAAAAAATTAAACAAAATTTCAAACGTGCTAGATAAGATTAAAAAATAATTAAAAAAATACTTTTTCATCTTAATAATAGCATAAACATTTTGAAAAACTGTTTTTTTATCAAGCTTGGGGCTTTTTTCATCATGGTATGCGCTTTTTAGCGAATAAGTAGAGGTACCTACATTAATTTAATCTTCATAACGTAATAGTTATTACACTTTTCAATTTTTTATTTCAAAATATTTGTTGTAAATTTTGCGCACGTTATTCTTGTTCATATTCTGGTCTTATTCTCAATTGAGTTGAGTTTGTTCGAATTACACGATACGTCCGGTCTTGTTCACCATGCTGTCTCTTCTTCATATAAGACTTACTTGTACCTGGTGCTCTCTTATATAACTCAACTCACAGTGGACCCGGCCATATTAAGCTGCTCGGTGATAGCCCTCATCAATTTCCTTATATTCTCTTCAATGACACGTCTGGTACAGCCACTAGGATCAGATTATATTTAAGTTGCTGTAACTACCAGCAAGTTCCACAATCACGAACATACCTTTTTATTTCCTGTGTCAGATTGGAAGCTACTATGTTAACACTCAGGAAAAGCCTGAAAAAGACATATGCTGCATAACATTGAGTTAGTTTTTCTTCAAAATACGGCCCAAAATACGGCTCAAATACCTGGCGCATCATATATATATATATATATATATATATATATATATATATTATATGAAAAGATTACTTAACTTTTAAATATCGTTTTTATCCCGACTTCGAATTTTCTTGGTAAAATTTCCAGCCTTCAGGGGTTGTGATTTTAAATGGTATGTCCGTTTTTTTTTTAAATTTTTCAATTTGTTCCGCATCTGTTTCAATCCGCTTTTTTTTTTTTTTACTCCGTTTTGTGCACGTGCGTATTCATAAATTTAACGTTCTTTTACATGCTCATAAAATTTTTCTTTTGTTTACGTCTTTCATTTTTTCAGCTGTAGATTTTTCTTTCAGTTTAAAATTTTTTCTTCGAAATTAAATTAAATTTTTTTATGGTTGATATAGAAGTTATTTTATATTATTAATTAAATTGTAATATTCATTAATTAACAAATATTACAATTTAATTAATAATATAACATCTATATAAACCATAAAAAAAATTAAATTTGAAGAAAAATTTGATTTCGAAGAAACGTTTAACTTGTTAATTAGCAAAAATTACAATTTAATTAATAATATAACATAACAACTTTTATATAAACCATAAAAAAATTAATTTAATTTCGAAGAAAAATTTTTAATTTTGAAGAAAAAATTTAAAACTGGAAGAAAAATTGAGTGTTTTGCGTAGTTCAATGTATTCAGCCTTTGTTCTTGCTAGAAATTTAAGACTAAGTTTTGTATATGTTCTCATCCGTCTGAGTTCAATAGACTCTCTTGCTCAGTTTAATCAGATAAAGAGAAAACTTATAAAAGAAGAAAAAACAAAATCATATTCTCTTGTTACAAAAATTGAAAATTAGAAAGAAAGAATTGTCAAGAAGTATTACAGACATCACGTTCCCCATTAGATTTGTGGATAATGTAAATGTGTTTCAATGATTTCAATCACAAATCTCGTTTTATGATTTTTCAAATTATGCCCGGCGAAATATCCAACCAGAAACATTTTTTGGACAGTCTAAATCGACGACATTATATTTTGTTGCTAGTCAGAATATTTCGAATTTTGTGCATTTCTTGTAGGAAAAGTCTACGTTTAAAATAATGTATTGAAAAAGTAGTTTTTGCATGTATTCGAAAGACAAACTCTACTAATGAAACTTTTTTCTATAGTTGAATACTAACATTAACGAAACTTGAAAAGAGATTGAAAAAAATAGAAAATACGAGTAAGTAGTGAAATATATTCAGCTTTTCGTGCACTCTTTAGTAATAAGAGGCCTGCCTTTCTGAACAGTGCACAAACTATTGATCTTGTATAATAAAACACACTATCACTTTCAGGGATTTTTGAAAATTCTTACTAGGTACTTGAACTCATAACTTTAGGGGTTTTTTGGGGTTTTTTTTTGTTAGATTATCATCATTATCGCTACATTCCGATCCTTAATTGAATACTAATCTATTGCCAGAGACTTATGACTACATAGAATGAATGCAAAGGAAATAGACTTACTTATTATAAAGAACCAGCATCTTTATACACCAGAATACAACTTTAGTAGATTGCAGAAAACTTAATCCTCGTAGCCTTTCTACAATAAGAGTGATGATCTCTATTATTTTAATTGCACTCTCTTTTCTCTCCATATTTACTATATTATACCTCGCATTGTTTTATTATACAATTGATGGTTCAAACCATGAGAAGCAACTCCAGCATAAATCACGGCATCAATAATAACCAAGATACATAAAACTTCAACAGAATGCAGAAAGCACTGGACTGATGATGAATCCCAAATATAGCACGAAACGGCCGTACAGTGCTTTCTGCATTCTGTTGAAGTTTCTTCTTCGATGAATTACATAATTATGATTATCTCAAATCCTCCTAATAATTTATATCACACACACATATATATATATATATATATATATATATATATATATATATATTATAAACATTAAATATTTGTATCTAGAAAAATAACGTATAAACGATAAATATATTAAAATAATTGTCGGACTTAGTCCATTTCATAATACATATATTGGGACCACTCTGAATTGTTTCTTTATGTTCATAAAAAACGGCTAATTTTGCATATTTGGATAAATAAAATCACCTGTTGTGTATATATGCAAACCCTTTTATAAAATTCAAACAAATTTTTCTACAAGCATTACATTTCTACAAGTAGAGATCCAATTTCATCGAGATTAATGTGTGATTGGAATTAATTTTTAGAAACTGTTAACCAGATTAGTATTGAAAAAAGAGCCTTAGTGGAAATTCTTTCTACAGAAGGGGATTTCGAACATCAGATTGCTAGAAAATTACAGATTTCAAAAAATGGGGAATATTATTGACTGCGGCGACATGCAGTAACCGGCACAAAAAAAAATAAAAATAAAATAAAAAATAAAAAACGGCAGAAAAAGATCTGGGAGGCTCAAAGTAACATCTATTGCAGTAGATGTACTCTTGATTGTGTCTAGTAAAAGGAGAAGACTTCTTTCTGATGGGCTTAAAGGATGTGTATCAATGAAGAAAAGAATTACCTTAGGTTGCAAATACATCATTTGCTGACCTTCCTCGACTAAAGAAGACTCCAATGTTCCAATCTAGACTCATAAAAGTTTATCTAGCTTTTACTTTTAATAATGCCTCTTGAGTTACATAAAAAGTTTAGTTTGGTGTTTACATGGATGTTTGTTTTTGCCGAAAATAGGATTGACTTATTCAGTTAAAAGAAAACTGTCTTTGAAGTCAAGCATGGTGATGGCAGTATTATGCAGTTTTTATTTATTTATTCAGCACGTGGGATTGGTTGCTCTGTTACTGTGGATGGAATCATAAAGAAAGTACAGTATTTCCGGATTTTTAACCAAAACTTCAAATACCCTGGACAATAACTTTGACTGGAATACCAGTGAACAAGACAATGATTCAAAATATATATTTACTAAGAAATAGTTTATGGACAATAATTCCAATATTTTAGAGCAATGAAGTCAGAGTCTAAACCTTAATCCAGTTGGGAATTTATGGAGAAAACAGTAGCACAAATAATAGCAACGTATGCCTTACACCAAATTATTTTTTCTTCAAATAAACTTCAGTAAAAAAACAAAAAAACAATTGGATGTCCATTTTTTATCCAAATTTTTCAGTGAAAATATGAAAAAATTATTTTAGCATACAGGAATTGCAATAATAATTCCTATTCAGTTATTTTTATCCCATGAGGAAGCATTTTTGTATTCTTGTGTTCCTCTTATATATTACACACTTAGGTTACATTTCGTATAAATTTCTGAAAGTGTAGACAGGTTTTTAATGAC